ACATTTTTTAATCCGAGTTTTCCACGGAAATACATATTTGGAGTTCAAATAAGCAAGTCCAACAAAATGGTATGTGTATAAGTGAACAGTCTAGCTTTAAAACTAAAAGCCGTACGAAACTGATATAACATACTTAAAATATGACATACTTATGGCTGGGATGTTACACAAACTTCCCTGAAAATCGACTAACCGGAAGTGCCACTTTATATAATCCACACTTTTACAATTTTCTCAAAAAACGTCTCTAACGGTTTTGATTAAATTCATTACATCAGTGTAAAATTAAACACTTTTTAATATATTGTAGGCCTTATTCTCATAGATGTTATGTTTAAGAACTTAAATGCTTAATTTTCAAGATTTCATTCTCTAAAGTACCTTTAATTTTTTATTTCAAACAATTAACCATTCCACATAGTAATCTGCTATAAAGTACAAAATATCAAAGAATTAGATAATTAACTAAAGGAGAAATAAGAGACCGTAACGTAGAATAGTAGTACTGTAGAGAGTGAAGAATAAATACAGCGATCTTCTTTATTAGTGGCACTCTTGTCGGACTAAAAATATTTCATGGAACTTAATTATTTATTATTATCAAATATTTAGTTATAATATACAGTCGTAAAATGCACAGACGGATCTACGAGAGGGGGAGGTTTTCGGGCTGAAGCCCTCTTCCCAAAATGGTAAATCATAACCATGTTTTATCGAAAAACATTGTATCTTAAAGTATTATTGTTCGTGTAATTACATATCATAGAACTACAAGAATCTCTTAAATACCGTTTCATACAGGTAGTTATTCTTTCCCTTTTTCCAAAGTAATTATCGTATGTATATAAAAAAAAAATCTTTCGGGCAGAAGCACCCCAAAATTAAATCCTGGATCCGCTAGTGCTAAAAAGAGATGGTTAATGATAAAAAACGTAAATATAATACATTAGATAGTTATGAAAAACTTTGAAGCTTACTTTGATTTTTGTAATTTATTGATACATTTCAATTCGTTTAATACAATAAAATCAGCAAGATGTTTTTCTAATTTTATTCCCAGTGTCTCTGCTATTTAACAGTCAAGCACATTTTGACTGAATGTTATGCATATGAAGTACAACGAAATGAAGTTGAATTGGAGAATGATATTACTGAAATTTTGAAAAACACCACCAAATTAGCAAAAACATTTTTTACATTCCTTCAAATAACGCATCTATATATATTCCGTTGTACATACCCCTTTTATTCAATCTATTAACATCCGGCTGAAACTTTGTGAATAGTTTCATCTCATCATAACCTAAAAATATTTTATTTTCTGAAAATTCTCGGAATCAGGGCGTTTTCAATCTGGAGGTCGGCAAACTTGGTCTATTAAATAGGTACTAAAAACTCGTAAATACCCATTTTCATTCTACTTTAATCGTAAGATAACTTGAGCACAAAGTCGAGGGAAAAGGTGGCCTCTTAAAGTATTGAGCCGGTTGGCGTGACCTACACTCCCAAATTTTCTAAATAATTATATAGACCAAAGGCTCAATATTTTTGAAGGCCACCTTTTTTTTTTACTTTGTGCTCAAGTTATCTTACGATTAAAGTAGAATGAAAATGGGTATTTACGAGTTTTTAGTACCTATTAAATAGACCAAGTTTGCCGACCTCCAGATTGAAAACGCCCCAATTCCAAGAATGTAACAACAAACAACTGAAACATCACTTCCAATCATTCCTATTATTCATTTAGTATTAAGATAATTTGTAACAATGTTATGATCCATAACATAAATTCTATGCCATTCGTGCCTCTCTCCCCACCCCGAAGTTAAAAGTACGTTCCGCCAGTGATGTGCACTCTATGCGTTAGCGCTAAGAATAGACTATCTTGAGCTCATATTCCTGGAATGTTATGTTTTTGTAAATGAACCTAATACTGAAGGAGTTTTCTGTTATTTGTTAACTGGAGAAAATACAAACTTTTGGTGTCACCAATGATTTCAACCAGTGTTTATTTTTTCTTTCTCAAGACTATAATTACCGTTGATTTGTGGCACCCTATCCTAATTACTATTTTTCGAAAAAAATCCTTAATGCATGTAACGTTACAATTTTAATTTTTCTTGACGAAGACAGTTTTTGATACAGGTCATAATTATAGCTTTTATCCTGGCATAAGTTTAAAATGAACTGGGAAACATCGTTAAAGTTCTCTTGTAACCTTAATAATTAAAGAAAAAGAAAAACATTCAATGGAATCAACGTTATCAGCATATAAGAATCAAAGAAATAAGTGATGCAATTTCTATGACGAAGTATCGAATAAACAAAATTTGAAGGTATAATAGAATTTTACCCTAATACAAGCTATTTTTTTTTTTAAATTATCTGCTTTATATAGTAATAATTTTATTTATTCTTTGTTCCTATATAATGCACTTAGGTATATGTTACATTTAAATTATAAGCGCAGTCACGTCATCGTCCCAATAAAAGTGACCGATATGGTGGTATAATATGTTCGCATTAGTGGTTGGTTAATATAAGAAAATTTTGCGTTCCTTAACGAAACAACGTTTGAGGTGTTAATAATCCATGTTATTAAGTTATACTGTATTTAATCCGCTGTATTATATTGTCTTTGTTTAGTATTTATTTATTGACCTTGACACATTCGGCCCCTGAGGCAATGACGTCATCTCCACAACCCTAAAAAAATCCATTTCTTTCTTAAGCTGTTTATACTATGTTTTATTTTAAATTTATTTCATACAACATTTATTTAATAGAGTTGCTTTATTGATTGGCTAAAATTAAATATTTTAATACGTTTTGAAACTTTTTTTTATTTCTTACAAATGATGAGTGCCCGCAAATCAAGATCGGCCGACGCCCCCAACGGGTACCCCTCCAGGTTAGCGATCCGGGACAAGTGCCCCGGTTTTCCGGATACATGATTGTATCATGTATTCTAAAATTTTCTTTTTTTTTTTCATTTATAGCATTTATTTCATTGATATATTCTATAACTTTTAAACGCCACAATTATATAAAGTAGATGGGAAATCTTATGAAACTGAAGTTAAACATAAATTTAACTTATGAGATGAGCTATGGGGCTCCACCAAACCTTCAAATTCCTCTCGCATCCAATCCTTACAATCCAAAATCCTTCGTAAAATCCTCAATGCTCCTTACTTTGTTACAAATAAAATCATCCATAATGACCTTAATGTTCCTTATGTATCAGATTTGACTCAATCCAGATATCTGTCCTTCCATAATAAACTTCATAACCATACCAACCCTCTTGTTTCTAACCGTGCTTCCTATTCAATTCCTGATAATCCTCCGAGGCGTCTGAAAAGAAGATGGCCACGTGATCTCCTAATATTGACATATTATTAGAGTGCCACCAATGGGTAGTTTCTCAACATGTGTTTCATGTCTTTATATCCATGTGCGAATTTACCTGATGCATTTTTTGTATACAGTTGTAAATATCATATAAATAAAAAAAACACTTATGAGAGATAAATGGTATCCCTCGGATGTTACTGAAACCTTTTCTTCAAAATCGGCTAACCGGAATGGTCCATTATTTTATCGAATTTAAAATTCTTACAGCTTGTAAACGGCTCTAACAAATTTTAATTGACTCATCATATCAATAAAAAATTAAATGTTTTTTAACACAATATGTATAGGTACCTTATTGAAACAGCCTGACGAGGCTTAAATACTGGATTCCCTCATCTAATGTAAATTTAATTTATTTATTGAAAATATTTAAAGGTCTCTCGTTGTTAGGAGTAATACAAAGGGGGTAAATATTAACAACGAAAGAACCGATAATTAACTAAAGGAGAAAATGCGATAAATATTTTTAAAACAAATTCTGGAAATAAAGTTATTATTATAGAGTTATAATATTATAGATATACTGTTTAAAAGCTTAATATTTAAGAAAAATTAATATCCAACATAAAGTATGGTAAAAGGTAAATGTAGAATGATGAAAAACTTATGAATTTTAATTGTTTTAGTTAATAATGTCTACTATAATTGAAAGGGAAATAAACGTTTCCATAAAAACTTTATGAAATTTCTATGAAAAAAATGTAGAAATTATTTTAATTTATTTATATTTTTTTGAAGTATCTTTTTGTTTTCGTAGCAATTTGCTAAGAATTTCGAAGACCGGAAAAACAACTTCACCACTCAAAAATTATTTATTTTGCAAGCGTATCGGTTGCAACTTTTTTTTAATTTTTATTGATGGAGTTGTTTTTCCGATCTTAGAGATACCGACTACTTTTTTTTTTTTTTAACATAACAAAAATATACAGTGCACAAAACAGTCATAATTTGTATTAATTGTCTTAAGTTTGTATTTATATTTAATGCACGGGCGGATCTACGGGGGGGGGGGGAGCTATCGGGCTAAAGCCTCCCCCTCCAAAATGGTAAAATATAACCATGTTTTATCGGAAAAAATATTAAAAAATTATCTCTTAAAGTATAATTATTCGTGTAATTACATTTAAAAGGGCTTTAGGAATCACTTAAACACCAATTCATATAGGTACTTAGTTTCTTTCTTATTTTCCAAAGTAATTATCCTTACTTTATGAAAAAAATATCTTTCGGGCTGAGGCCACTCCCCAAAAATTAAATCCTGGATTCGCTAGTGATTTAATTTAATATTATTAAAGTTTATTAACTTTTAAAAAAATTAATTTTTACTGAAAGGAGGATGTTGTGAGATTCCCCGCAACAGATTTTTATGATTTTTGAACAATTAATGAAAATAATGATGCACATTTGTGTGTGCATGTGTTTTACATACATATATGTTTATTTATGCATTTAAATAACATTTAATTATTCTCCTATAGTTGTGGTTAATGTGAGGAAGCATTAGTTGGTAGGCCTGGAGGAGGCTTCACTATCGATTTACTATCGATAAGAAGGCGGACGAGGGTACAGCAGTCTGCGCCGTGATGCTGGGCTGTGCGGTAGTCTTGGCGCTCTCTTGGACGGTTTGCGCCGCAAAGGTGCTTACTCCTCCTTACATCAACATCGCAGAGAACAGCAAGGTTGAGGCCACCTATACCTGCGGCGAAGAAGGTCCAGACCTATACTGCAAGCTAATTGGTGCCAACCAGGACGCCACAGTAGACGAAAGCAATGTCATCATCCATGGACAGGTAAGTTCTTGGTATACTTAGCGTTGCAAATTCTGATCATAAATAATAGTTTTTCAATTTATTTTATGTAAAGGTTTTCTTAAGTTTTATTTGTAAATAATTTAAATTTTAGGAATAAATCACTGAAACACAAAACTAGTCATTTTTTATTTTTCAGAGAGAAAATTAATAAACATGCGTTGTACACTTTACAGAATAAAATAAATTATTTCTAAAAATATATTTTTTTTGAGATGGAAAATTTGTGGACAGTTGATTCTTATAAGAGTAAGAGGACAGATTTTTATTTTATTATATTACTGTCTATTATTTTCTCAGTATTTATTTGTTATCAGTTCTTTTTTTAGACCTAATGAAGGCCTAAAACTTAGGCCGAAACGTCGCTCAAATACAATAAATATAATTTATTAATCCTCGACCAACTTCTCTTAAAAAAAAAATCATTAAATTAAAGGTATTATAAATATAAACGTTACTTTTATTTAATATCAAAATCATAATGATGATTTAACATTAACCCAAATTCAATATGCCGTATTAATTTTTATTATCTACCACCGAACCAATTATATGTTGTAATTTTATAATATTTTAAAATTTATAATCAAATCCCTTTTTCACTATGATCTGTGGAATATGAAAGTTAATTATTTTTTAAAGAACGTTGATGAATTTTTAAAAAATTGCAAAATGTGAGGAATGTATAAGAATATAAAACAATGATGGTACAGAAAAAAATATCCAATAATGAAGGAAAAAATCTCAAAACTTATCTATGATGTTTATAAGTGACATTTAAAAGTATGTAATTATTTAATTGACTAGCTCATATGTAAAAAAATATTTAAAATATGTATCTACATATGTGTATTTATTTTTGATAAATTAATTACGTGGCAATGCTACTTTATTTTTTTGTGAGGAGGGAATGAACAAACTCTAGCAACTTTCAATGATATCGTTAATTGAAACAAAATGTCCTAACAAGTTCAATGTGCAGAACAAAATTTTCCAATTGTAGATAATAAATAAAAAAATCACAATGTTTTGATTTAGATCAGAAATATTTTTATTTTCGTATTTCTGGGGATTTTCATATTTTTTAGAGATTTTTGATACATGACCACATTTTTTAATCAATGAAATCCCAACTTCTAAACTTAAAATGTGTTGAAATTGGTTTTCAATTTCAGTTAAATGTTGAGTAAAATATTTTTTAAAAAATCAAAGTTTGAAGTACATTCTCCAATCTGACAAATTTTTGAGATTTTCGAAAATCTAAAAGATTCCGTCCCTCGTCCTCTTCAATGACGGCGTCCCTGGGATAGTTTTGGCGCGTGCACTTTTCTAACAAAATTTTTAGATGCGTATTATATAATTTTTAGAAATATATGTGTGCCACCACATAAACATAGTACAAATCTTTATTAGAAGCAGATTTATGGTTTTTCTCTAGACGTTAAAGAACAAATTAAGTTCTACTTCACATTATTTTTATTTTCATTATTTCTTTTCGTTAAGTTGTTAAGATAAGTTTGCAACCTTTTTTTCACACCTATTAAAATAAAAAAATAATTTCTATCTCTGCTAAAAGTTTCGTTGGAATATTCTCGAATATATTGGGCGTTAGTCGCTAATTTTACTTTTAGTAGTTTATGGATTAAAGGAAATAAATTTACTGAGGCAAGTTTCGACATACAAACATTCTGTATAGTAAAATTAAAATTGGTGGAAGATACGGTTTTAGAACTTCGTCGTAAATGTAATTAGATTAGAATTTATGGGTAAGGTGCTTTCCTTCACTAAAATTAATCGAATTTCTAGTTTTGATAATACTTTAAATATTAAAAACTTGCCTTGAACTTGTTCTCCATTTTTGTTTTTATTAATTTTTTTTTGTTAACTCCACATACATATATACAGATACGTTAAATTAAAAAATACTTTATTTGCTTTTTAATTTATGTAATGTGAAATTAACTGATGTTGGAGATTGTATAAGTTTGAAAAAATATTAATTCGGTCCCTAATAATTACTTCAAGTTACACACTATTGATTTATTTATTTAATTTATACAAAATAAAAAGTAATGATTCAAAAATAAATTAATTTTAATAATAATAATAATTTAATTTTGAGGTTAATTAAGAAATGGAATATGAAATACTAAACTTAACTTATATTTAAGATAAGTATTTACTTATCATGTTACTTTAATTAATAAAATATTACGTGTCTGTTTTAATGACATTATCGGGTCAATAAATCCTGACGTCTTTTCTTAACGACGGGTCGCGACGTCCATCTCTATACTGGATAAGTAGTCCAGTCAATCTATGCTCGAAAAGGGAATACAGAAGGAAATGGGGGGGGGGGGGGGGCACAATTTTTGACTTTGGGTCATTGTTTGGACTAGTAAGGAGGTAAACATACCAAAGGTCCCCTCCTAGATTATGATCCAGATGTGGTGGGAAGGGAGGGGAGGCGCCTAGAAGGTAACTATTTAGTAGTTTTCGCTTATATCAGGAAAACTATCTATTTCATTGACAAAGACGTTCCACACAAAATTAAAACTGATAAAATTTTTAATACGATTGATTCCACACCTTCTTCGCTACCTCATTTAGTTTCCGAGATATCCGTCTTAAACTGTGGCTAATTTTGAGAAGAAAAAAAATATTTGCTTCGTGTTTATTGCAGTTTTTCGGGTTTTCGCTTATACTATGAAAACTATTATCGCATTGACAAAGACATTTTGTACAAAATAAAAGCTGATAAAGTTTTCAATATGATTGATTACATATCTTTTTTCGCTATATCGCTTAGTTTTTGAAATAACCGTCCTCAACTGTCGCTAATGTGAAAAAAAAAATTACCTCATGTTTTTTACTGTATTTAACTAGCCAACTCTTGATTGCTTCGTTCTACGATTGAGTCACAGGGAACAAGGTTTTTAATAATTTAATTTTCTTCAAGAATAAATATTATTTTACTAGTTTATCTTCAACGGTTCAAAAGTTAGATCAATTACAAGTTGTTTTTTTTTTTGTCAATTCTGAGAATTTGCAGAAAAAAATTAATTTTTAATCGTAGAACGAAGCTATCAAGATTTAGCTAGTCAAATACAGTAAAAAACATGAGGTAAAAAATGTTTTTCCCCATTAACGATATTTGAGGACGGATATCTCGGAAACTAAACTAGATACCGAAAAAATCTACATAATCTTATTGCAAATTTTATCATATTTAATTTTGTATATAATTGTCTTTGTCGATTAATAGTTTTCCTTATATAAACGAAAACCGGAAAAAAGTTACCATCTAGCCGCCTCCTCCCACCCGCCTCCCCACAGCGAACCTATGAGTGGGGACTTTTAGTATGCTTACCTCCTTACTAGTCCAAACAATGTCCCAAAGTCAAAAATTGTGTCCTCGCCATTTCTTTCTATAATCATTCATTGACTGGACTATAGACCGGGTTTAGTTTTTGAATTACGGTGCTTATATACAAATTCTAAATTTTTATAATTGAATTTAAATTCTAATTCAAATGGAGAGTCAAAAGTTGAACTAAAAATCATTTTTCAAAAATATTTTTTATAGTAACGAAAAAACAAATATATTCCTACTTTTTTGTCGTTAAACGTAATTATCATATTGATTAAAGGTAGCACAATATGATAAAAACCATAATAATGAAACAATATTAAAGTATTATAATACTTTACTGAATTTTTTTTTGTAGTGATATTTTATTGATACTCGAATGATTCATTTTTCATATATTTGCATTATAGATCGAACAGTTTTCATTTACCATTTTATTAAATAATAGATTTGATATTGATTCTCAATTTTTAAATTTTTAGACTTTCGCATGGATTTATCTTTCAGGAAGAAAAAATCAAAATGTAGTTATCGAGAATCAAGAGTTAGCCACTATTACTCATGGCTATTCCTGTCTTAAGAAGTCATCGATTTACTTTCTTAATTATTTTCTGGATTTACAGTTTTTCCTCATAATTATTATCTTTTTTTGTAGAATTAGTTTGGGGTATACAAGATGCAAATAGTTGGGATGTACGCAAAATAAAAGTGAAGTAAACAAACAAATTATTGTACTGTATTATTGACAGTCCAACTAGGGATGGCCAAAGATGGTCGATATTATCGAAATATAGATATTTTACTGCCTATATTCGAGATTTTACCATCGATAGAATCTATCTGGACATTTTAATTTCAAACTATCGTTTTCGGAAAGCATCCAGAATTATGAATCTGACCGTTAGAAAAATTATATACTTTTTGCCGATCGATTGTAGTCAGTATTATCGAAATATCGATGGTTTTTCCTAAGTATAGTTGAATAGTGAGACTCTTCTCATTTGGTAAACTCATTTTGCCCAAATTTGTTGGTAAGAACCATCTCAAACCAAGGTCACGAATTGTCAAAGAAATCTATGTTTGATGTAAATAATTTAGCATTTCGCTGAATCAGATCTATGCGTAAATGGAAGATATAATTGGTTGAATGGAAATTTCTGATAAAAGCTGAGGATTACGAAGATGGATAGGAATTTGAAAATATATTTTACTAAGGAGGGTAGAAGAATGGATATTTCTATTAATTAATTTAAAGAGGAAAATAACATCTTTTTGGATGCGCCTATGCGCTATAGAATCAATATTTATATTGATATTCATAATTAAATACCTGTGAGAACTGCAAAACACATTATTCAAGAATGCTCTACTCTAAATAAATCAGAGAAAATTTGGTGGTAGGACCAAAGCTATCAGAAAACCTAAAAAAAGGCTGTAAAAAAAACATTAGAATTCCTAATAGTGGTGAAACTCTATTATAGAATTTAATTAGAAGGTGTTGCCAATGACCCTATAGGATAGAGGTAACAAAAAACAACTAAATAAATCGACGTAAATATCGATTATCAATATTTCAAGATCGATATTTTAATTATATCGATAGTTTTTGACC